GGAAGGGGGAGGGAAAGGGGGGAAGGAGAAGGAAAGGGAGAAGGGGGGGGAATCGGGCATTATGTTCTGTTTGTATAAAATTTTAGTGGAGTCAAGGACACAGAGTACTCACCCGCTCTCTCCATAACCCAAAAGCGAGTCCAAGTATGCTAAAGATGTGATGAATCGCATTTGGTACGTCGATCTTCAAGTCAAAAAAGCACCCGAAGAAGTCATAAATGAAGTACCCTAAGCTAACATTCAGCGCCAGCATCTGATGTCATTCACATTACCGTCACAAACACCGCGTCAGAGGACTTCCTTGTCCGTTTATTTCCATGTCACAAACTTTTTCTATGACTTCGGTCTCGGGATTCTTCATCAACAACCATACCTAGCATTCACCTTCCATTGTGCAGAACATTTAACTTTGTTGTCAACAGAAGGATAACACGTGTTTCATATCGACATCAACTGTGTTAGATAATCTCCACAATAACATGACACATTTCAGGTCTCTCAAGGGTATAAGCAATTGTGATGTGGAGATACTGCCAACAACCATGGAATTCCAAAGGACATATCCTCTGCATATAATTGCAGTCCTCGTAGCCCCAGATCTTCGTCAACAGAAGAAGGGAAAGGCCAAGAAGACGTGCAAGGACTGGAAACGGAGAGGTAATTAACGAAGGCACTGATTTTCTAACCAGAATGTGAAAAAGAGTGAGTGACAGAGCATGCCAATTTATGTAGTTTTCCAACTCGGCGCAGTAACATGCACTGGGTGGAATAGTGGTCGTACCCAAGAAAAGCCAACCCGTGGGAGCCTTGGGGGATAACTCGGCCTTTGGCCGCCTGTCGCTTGAAACAGGGCTAAAAACTCGATTCATGTGTTTGAAAAATGAACTCGAAGAAAAAGGGAAAACTGCAGATGAATTCAAGTTTTGAGTAGAAGAAAATGTAGAACTGTTTGGTGAACCAAAAATGATTTTTCCTGCCCAGGCGCAAAGAAGCTTGTTTATATTCAAGAATTTTACTATCACTAAAAAGAAACAACACCATGTTGAGCTGTGTACCATTTGGCTATGTGAACCTTTCGGGATTACAAAGAAGTGATACTCTTAGCTGGGAATCTATCATCACATTGAAATCCAAATTGCATCATCACATTGACAGCCAGATAGCCTTGTGTCGAGAAGAAAGCAGAAAGCACCAAGTTACACACCGAACAAGAGCAAAGCAATGAACTCAATTGGCAATGCCAGCCCAAGATCGCCTCCACCAACATTGCATCCGATGTCTCCTGTCTCTCCGGTGCCTGGCGCCGAACTACAGACTCATGACACCTATGGTAGCCTGCACAACGATGATGCAACCATAAACACTTCAACAGCGGACTGATGCGCTTGAAGATGTCGCCCATCTTTTCTACTATTTTCTTCTCTAAGCTTTTTTTTTCTACTCTTCTCTACTTTACTCTTCCTTACTCTGCTCTACTCCGCTCTGCTCCACTGTACTCTACTTTACGCTTCCCTTCTCCACTTCACTCTACTGTACTTCACTCTACTCCACTTCACTCTACTCCACTTTACTCTACTCTACTCTACTCTACTCTACTCTACTCTACTCTACTCTATTTTACTTTCCTCTCCTTCACTCCTCTCTACTCCACTCGAGTCACTCCTTCTCAAGCGCAATCTGCTCCTTTCCACTCTCCTCCACTCCGTTCGACTTCACTCCACTCTACTCCACTCCACTGTTCTCTACTCCAATCCACGTTATTCCACTTCACTCCATTCTACTCCATTTCACTCCACTTCATTCGACTCAAGTACATTCCCTAAACTTCACTCCACACCACTCCGCTACTTTACTCCACTCGACTCTACTCGCCTCTTCTTGACTCGACTCGCCTCTGTTGTACTCTACACTACTGTACTCAACTCTACTCTACTTTGCTTTACTCTACTTCATTTTGCTTTACTCTACTTCATTCTACTTTGAACCACTCTCCTATGCTAGAGTCAATTTCAGCCCATTTTGAATGTCCTTGTAGTTTGTTTTAGYGTAGTATATATCCATTCAAGGTACGTGACTCTTCTCTACTCTACCCCACTCAATTCTACTCCACCCGACTCGGTGCGACTCAACTTTACTGTACTCTATGCTACACTACTCTAAGCTACGCTACTGTACTTTACTCTATTTTGCTTGACTCTACTTTATTCTTCTGTACTTTACAGTACTGTACTATATGATGCGATACTCTTATCTACTCTATTGTACTCCACTTCGCTGCACTCCACTCCACTCCACCCTTATGTACTCTACTTCACTCCCCTCTACTCTACTCCACTCCCTTCTACTCGACTTTTCTCTACTATACTCTTCTAAACCCGACTCTATGCGACTCTACCCGACTCGAATTTACTCTCTATTATACTCTACGCTACGCTACTCTCTCTACTGTGYTTTACTTTACTTTACTGTTCTCTACTAATCTCTACTCTACCAATCTCTACTCTACCGTATTTTATGCTACTCACTCTACTCTACTATATTTTACTCGATTCTACTATACTCTACTCTAACCTACTCTACTTTTTTTTAGGATACTCTACTCTACTCTACTCTACTCTACTTTACTTTACGATACTTTACGCTTCCCTACTCTTCTCGACTCTACTATTTTTTACTCTTATTTTCCCTACTCTACTCTATTGTAGGATACTCAACTTACTCTGCTCTACTTTACTCTACAATACTCTACGCTTCCCTACTCTTCTCGACTCTACTTTTTTCTACTCTTTTCTTCCCTAAGCTTCTCTTCCCTACTCTTTTCTAGTCTATGCTTTCCTACTCTGCTTCACTCTACTCTACTCTACTCTACGCTTCCCTACTCCACTCCACTCTACTTTACTCCACTATAATCCACTCTACTCCACTTCATTCTACTCTACTCTACTTCATTCTACTCTACTTTCCTCCACTCCTTACACGACACACCAGGTACGCCCCTCTCTCTCCTCGGCTCATTCCCTGCCTGCCCCCTCGCAGGATGGCCACCACACCTAGCAACCCCACCATCTCCACCGCCAGTAAGCACTGTGCGGCCTGGCTATGGCCAACGTGCAATGCACTGCCCAGCTGGTATCTCACCAGCACCCGTGCCTGCGCTTCCAAGCCAGCGACCCTGTGTCCAAATGAGCGTGCAGCCAGGCAGCACTCCCACAGCAATCCTCCAGCCAGAATGTCCTGGACTGGAGGGAAGCACTTTGCTTTATGGAAAAAGTGTGCTGCAATGAGGGCCTGTCTGGCTGCACGCTGAGGCCCAGTACCTCAGTCCCCGGTACCTGCGCCGAGGGTCCTTCCAGAAAGCGCCCTGGGGAACATTCGGCTAGAGGGCTCAACTGCCCAATGTGGCCTCTGCTTGTTCGGAGCAACCTCATTAGTCGGTAGGCCCGTAGCCACCTTGCAGCCTCGCGGTATCAGAATATGGCATCGTCACACAGCGCTCCTCGTTGGGCCCTTCCAGAAACTGGCCTCCACGGCCTGGGTGCGATCTCAACCACCCAATGCTGCTTCCTCAACTGTATAGCATGAGGCCCCCCTGAGCAGAACTGACAAAATGAGGCCTTCAGGGGACTTCAGCCCTCCTTCCACTAAGGCGTGGCTACAATGGATATTGCCGACAATGCCGAGGGATCAAGGCCTCACATTTTTTTATGGTGCACATCAATATTAAGCCCCTAGTACCTTTCTCAGCTATCGATGCCGAGCCTGAAATTGCCCTGCGAGCCAAAGAAAAATGAACCGGCATAGGCATCATTTTGGCTGGCGCCACCAGCCGCCAGCCATTTCGGTCCGGTAGTACCGAACTGCGCTTGGCTCCCAAATATACCGGCACGTATTTGATTTTCAAGCGGGGAAAGGTAGTGGTGGTTTAAGTACATTGCACGCATGTGTGACAAAGAATGCGGGATTTTTCATGAAAGTACTTCGAATCCATTTGGACTTCATTTGTGTCCCAGCAGCTCCTCGAGAAGGATACCTTAAGCAGCAGAATACAAAGGACGTACTCACACCAGGAGTTTTTCAACTGATCTCTGGACATGATTGCAGTCAGATACGTCCAGGACTCGCCCTAGTTGCAGTTAGATACATCCACAAAAGTCATGAGCATGGCCTAAGAGAAACCAAGAAAAAAGGTTCTGCAACTTTCCAACTTTGCAACTTTGCATGAGTATGTAGTATGTTGTAGTCTTGAACATCACTATCTATCAAACTGGGCCTTCCCTTCTCTCCTCCCATCGCTCTTCGTCGCGTAGTTAAGGAGGAATCAACGGAGAAAATGAAACAATTGGCAGGGCCATTTGAGAAGGGTGAGCGGGACAAGGGTACGGAGGGAACAGCATAACAAAAGTAGCCCTTGCAGAGGAAAGGAGGATTAGACGGGTTCCTCCTTTGTGGGAGGAGGGGGGAGAAGGTGGGTGGGTGGGGGGTGGGTGGGTGGTTGGTGGGTGGGTGGGTGGGTGGTGGGTGGATGAAGGGGGTGATGGAGGAACGGAGAGAAAAGTGGACAATGGCTCATGGAACGTTGGCCAAGCAAGTTCAATATGGCTATGGGGCTATCGAAAATGGAGTGAACATGATATTGAAACCTTGCAAAAGGATGAAGAGGGTAGGGTGGTTGCAAAGGGGGGGATTAGGGTTTACTTGCTTGGGCGAGTTTGGACCTCCAACTTTGGCAAGAGGATCGAGCGGGTCCTCCACAGAGCGCATGGAGAGAATGACTGCAGCTACCACATGGCAGATGGAGACAGCTCGGTTACAGAAGTCGTACGTCCTTGCTCGAAGCAGAACAAACCGCAGTAAAAGGAAGATCCCTGTCCAGACCGCTATGTAGATGCCCAGATCTTTCAAAAGCTGGGTTCGATCAAATGGCGGTCCCGGGGGTCCAGCAAGCCATTGTGACATCACAGTGTCCTCCAGCAGTGCCATTGTGGCCATCATCCTAATCCCCTATCAAGACCACCAAACAATCACAGTCAGCCCTGTCAGCAATCATGACCTGTCAGGACTTTGACAAACAGACAGATGGATGGACGGACCGACTGACCAACGGGACCAACCAAGCAACCGACTGACAGACAGTCATACAGACAGAAAGCCAGTTGCAGGTGCTTAGACAGTCCTGGACCGCGGATTCCTGCAATTCATCCTGCACCGTTGCTCGTTGCTTCTCGTAAACAGCTACCCAGCATCGACTTCGTCACCATAATGCCTGGCCCAGCTCGGATGTGCCTGTGGACTGTGTGGCCCGCGTAACTTGTCACTATTGATTTTCGGGCAGTCGTCATCTACAACTCATGGCCACAGTTCAGTGGAACCAAACCCTTCATGAAGAATTTTTTGGGGGACAGAAGTATACAGGAGCTGACAGACAGATGATGTGCACTGTGGTGGCCCTTTTTTTTTTCAATTTGGACCGTTTCTCACCCTGATGACAGTACTTGGATACAGAAATAAGTAAGCAGTTATTTAAACTTATTTTCCGTTTAGGAAAGAAAAAAAGAAAAAAAAACGCTCCAAACAGTGTCAGGCCATCGGCCAAAATTTATAAGCTATGCTTAGTGTATTCATAGGTGAGGTGAGATTCATACCTGCCATCCAGGATCGACGCAGACGACCCGAGTCGACACAGACAACCAGATACTCAGCCATTATGTATGATTTCTCCATATTTTTATTTATTTCTTTACTCATGCTCAATTCCTGACTGATTGCCGTTTCCGTGCAGAATTCTTCGCCGACGGCGGCCTCTGCTTGCTTCGTCTTCTGCTCTCTCCTACGTTCAATTATAATATCCTTTAAGGCTTCCTCATCGCTCTTCTTCTCCTTTGGCTGTTCTCATATCTAACCTGCTTTCTAATCAGATTCTCCCTTCTAATCTCCTTCCTAATCTGCTTTCGAAAAAAAATCCTTTTAATCTCTTTCGGAATCTCCTTCCATATCTCCTTTGCACTCTCCTTTCTGATCTCCTTATTGCTCTCCTTCTTATTCTCCTCCTTTTTGCGGTTATGTGTTGTTATTTGCCGTTTCATTCCTAACCTCCTTTCTAATCTCCCTTCTATCTCTCCTTTGGAATCTCAATAGGAATCTTCTTCCTAATCTCCTTTACTTATTGCTCTCCTTCTCATCCTTCTTCTCCGTTTCGCGGTAACCCGTTCTCAATTCTGATTCAAGATATGTGCTGGTTGTGTCTTCCCATAGATTGCAGTCGTGAGATGTTTATCTCCCCTATGCCGCTGCCATGGTGATCAAAAGCGGTCACTTTTGATCGCAATGGCAACGGCATAGGGGAGATAAACATCTCACAACTGCAATCTATGGGAAGACACAACCAGCACAATGGCAGCGGCATAGGGGAGATAAACATCTCACGACTGCCATCTATGGGAAGACACACCCAGCACATACCCTCTCTCTCTCTCTCTCTCTCTCTCTCCCTCTCTCTCTGAGACACACGCACACGATAGACACTGAAGAGATGGAGAGAGAAACGGACAGACACAGAGATTTCCATCAGTCAAATGCATCCTGGGCACACTGTTGGGGTTCAACCTCCGGATGAGTCCGTGAAAGTCTCACGACTACTATGACGAATTAATTGATTCATTGTAGGCATATGTGTGGTTTTGTTTTTTGTTAATTAAATTAATGCAACTGACAGGCTTCAGTAGCGTGACCCGCCTGACCTGACCCTTTGATATGATACATATCATATCATACATATCCCTTATGGGATTTGGACTTGTGTCTTCGCCATGGAAAAGCGATGTCCTATACCCCTAGACGAAAGGGACGAATGAATGTGCTTGTAGCTCAATTGGATAGAGCACCAAACTACATATTTGGGGGTTGAGGGTTCAATGCTTTCTTTTCTGCATAGCTGTGCATAACGAACACCACACCACACACACACACACATACACAGAGAGAGAGAGAGAGAGAGAGAGAGAGAGAGAGAGAGAGAGAGAGAGAGAGAGAGAGGGTTGCGGCATTGCCACGTGAGATCTATTGGCATACCGAGACAATGAGCAGCGCAACAGACAGGAACCGAGGGAGTGGTAGAGGGGCGAGATTAAGGCGAGAAAGCAGTTGCGTTTAGAGTCTTTAGACACATCAATGGCGGGAAAATGATCAGAAGGATGGAACAGTACTCTACTGGATGAGGAGGGTGGAAAAAAATGGTGGGGGTCGGCTTCGTCGACCCGCGTGGAATCTGCACGGCAGATTGAGCAAATAAGGATTAGGCACCTCGAGGATCAGTCAATCAGTATTTAAATCAAGGGAAAATTGCATCTGTACCCCACTTAAAGATGGGAATGTGGGCTATACCCAGTCCCAGCGCCAACTTGCGTCTATACCCAGAAAACGGCTTGTGGAAATTGCTTGCATGCCCAGGACCGAGGTGGACCCAGGTTGGTACCTCAATATTGCAGTTGTAACCAACTACCAGAATGCACAAATTCTGGACATACCCAGGCAAAATTATGGGCATACCCGGGACCTGAGGAGGCGCGGCCAAATTGTTCATATACCCTGCTACCGGATGGCTGAAATTATGCTCATACCCAGCAGCCGTTGGGCCACAACGGTCTACTTGGTGGGCATCAGCATAATTTGGTAATCCCAATCCAGGGCCTGTGGGATTGGGTACACGTACTATTTCGCACAGGGGAAAAGGTGGGAACTGTGGACAGTTGAACAGACTCTGGGTATAAATGCAAGTTGGCGCTGGGACTGGGTATTAAGTGGGGTACAGATGCAATTTTCCCTTAAATCAACGGTTGATTGATTGATTGATTGGTTGATTGGTTGATTGATTGATTGATTGATTGGTTGGTTGAAGAAGCAGCTGTTGTAGACTGGAGATAGAGACATCAAGGCTGACGCTACGTGTCCATGGTTCCCAAATAATGGCCTCTGCGCAAGGACGACATGCATAAATCGAAAAATGGCCCAAATTTATATTTTCTTACGAAAACATTCAATTTACAGCATCTGCGCAAATCAGTGAAGAAGAAGAAGAAGAAGAAGAAGAAGAAGAAGAAGAAGAAGAATTTACCAGGTTCGGGAAAGGACAGTGTGGAGTTTTTCTTTTCTTTGGGACGGTGAAGGGGGAGGGGGGGATGAAGGGGCGGATACAAGGGAGGCATCACGGGTATGGGTTCTTCCAGTCCATTACCCTGGTCACAGCTAGTATCCGCGACGTATCTGAGGTTGAAATGCACAAATTCTGGACAAATTCTTTTGGGGGGGAGGAAGGGGGGGGATGTGAGGAGTCCATAGAGTGCTCTTAGGGCCTGGCCGCTCTACTCACTAATAAGCGAAATGGAGAATGTATCTGCGGTTGGAATGTGGAATGATACACGCGCCATTATAGTTTTGTGCTTTACACATTAAATTTTGGTGAGTAGTGCTGCAAGGCCCTTACATCCAAACGAACTCGTCTGCATTTGGGCCGGCTTTGTATTTGGCTGAACAGAAGCATGCGGCGGGCCCCAACATGAACACGAACACGAACTTCGCGTAACCACACAGATCAGATATTAAAAATAATTAAACTGATCAGAACCGATACTCTCACCTGATCCTCTTTTTTTTTTCCCCTTTCTCTTTTTCTTTTTTTCTTGTTTCTTTTTCTTTTTACCAAAAACATCTGCGAGAGTACGACTGGTGGAGGTGATACCATGCCTGATCTATCTTTAGCCAAAACGCGAGAAAGGTTTCAGATTGACAATGCGTTTTTTTTTGGTTGCATAAAGATTTTTCAATGCTGGACCCGGTTTCCAGCAGGACCAGGTGCAGCTCCCCACCAGTCGACAGGAGTCATCACTGTAGGTGGCTGTATATAGACTGGAATTGGCCCCATATGCGGCTATATACTGTGTTCTATAACTTCTATTCCTATTCCGGGTGAAGATCGCAATGAGGGTTGCTCATATCAGCCCCAGTAGTGGGGACCACAGAATGATTTTTATTATTATTATTTTTATTTTTATTTTTTTTTGGGACCACAGAATGATGTTGTTTCCGAAAAAAGAAAAAAAAAAAGAAACAGCGGCTTTCCTCTCCACACAGCTACCAAAGGCTGTTTTCTTTCCACACAAAAACTAATAGCCCTTTTTCCCTCACACCAAATGACATTGTACCCCCCGGTGGCCCTCTCACGGTCCCTTGTCCTGCATCCCATAATAATTCTCATTTAAAACATTACCAACGGTAGCTCGACATTTATAGACACTAACACGCCTCAGGGTAACCGCACCCTGATGGTTGCCTCGTGATATTGTTTCAATTGCGCAAAAGTCCCTGCAGCCCAAACCAATTTCAATTGGGCACCTTGGCCTCGACTCCATTCAATATTATGAATCAAAGTACCCACTACAGTCTTCACCGTACTGTAACAGTGATTATAGCTGCATTTGTAGCAACTTTCAGTCCAGATGCAGCAATAATGGCCCCACCTTGTATATATGCAGCAATAAGGGTCCCTTGTATTCAGGCGAAGACAGTAGTATATATAATATGCTAAATCATCCTAAACGTACACAATTTTTCCCAAAGCTTGCTCCAGTTTCCTAAAGCTATGGACATTATTCCTGACTGGGCTAGTACCTGTTCTTAATTTATCATCACAACAAGCTAATCCAAGGAAAATGAGCAATAACAGAAACCAAATTGCATCTGATTCACCCCATAGCAATCCAGATTATAGTCATGTGCACGTCGTCCTGAATTCAAAGCAGAACGCAACACGAGAGACACCAAATAGGATCACAAAGCAATGAAGTCAATCGACAATGAAAGCTCTCTCCTCGCCTCCAACATTATTGTCCCCAAATTGAATGTCGCTCTGAGACTCCCATATGGCGCTCGACACCCAGACTACAATCAGACAGCGCCTACCACCTAGACAGTGTAGACACCTCTACTGACGACAACAGGTCTTCATG